AAAAAAAAAAGTTGCGTCCATCTGCGACCGAGTGTTCGTTTTGGGGACTTACGTCCCTGTTGGGTCGTTGTCTTTCTGTCTGCAGGCCACTCAAATCTGTCTGGCTTGGGGCGAGGGCATCGTTACACAAAGCCTAAGGATTTCCTGATGCTGCTTGCTTTCCTGGTGACAGTGATATGTCTCATGTTGGGTCCGCACTGTCTCTTAGATTCTTCAGAATTTTGCTGCCCAATCCAGTCGCTGGTGGCCACTCGCAGTATTTAGGTTTAATGAAGATCGAACAAGACTTACAGTTCAGCTCCCAAGTTGTGCACACACATCTCACGCGGGCAGCAGCCGTAGGTGGTGATGAGGGGCTAACACGTTGGACAGTGCAGGTGACGGGACATTTCCATACCCGGTTTCATTACGGCCCCCGTGTCTCCTCACCCCTCTCCTCCCTCGTCCCCAGTTCCCAGGTCCCCCAAGGACAACCTACGTGATCGGCGTTGTTCTCCACGAGCCTACAGGTATTTACGCAACCGCAGGCTGGTATATGACGCACTTTGGGTCACGGTTCTTCGTAAAAAGAAAAGAAGCTCTTATCCACCGTACGTATATATGTTCTCCTCTTCTCACTCACAATGCGTTGTGACTGTCTCTTTGGGCCAATAGAGTTGCAGCTAATTTATTCTCTGCGATGACTGCATAAAATTGCGTGCTGAGAGCGTATTACGACTTAACAACCATTTCCAGATTCAAGGGCGTCCAAGCTTCCAGCTTTTTGTTTCTTTGTTTGCTGTTCCGAACAGGATTCTAAGAAACCTTCTCATACTCATATCCCTACCCTCTGGCACTTTTCACTTTGGAGAGTAAACCTCTTAAATAATCTTTTTTTTTTTTTTTCAACGTTTATTTATTTTTGGGACAGAGAGAGACAGAGCATGAACGGGCGAGGGGCAGAGAGAGAGGGAGACACAGAATCGGAAACAGGCTCCAGGCTCCGAGCCATCAGCCCAGAGCCTGACGCGGGGCTCGAACTCACGCGAGATCACGCGAGATCACGCGAGATCGTGACCTGGCTGAAGTCGGACGCTCAACCGACTGCGCCACCCAGGCGCCCCATGGAGAGTAAACCTCTTAAATTAATGTGTCTTGGTCAAGGGAATGGGTATGGATTAAATTGTAATCGGTATCGACAGATCTATTTTCTGAAAGGCTGTAGCAATTTCTGGTCGCCCCAGCCACGTACGAGAGAGGCCATTTTCCCTCATGCTCACCAGCCCTGGTTGTTGTCGTTTTCATGCTTTTGAAGAGTTTTTGCCAACCCCATTGTTTTTTTTTCCCCCCCTAAGTTTATTTTTGAGAGAGAGGGGGAGGGAGGGAGAGAGAGAGTGTGGGAAAGGGTCAGAGCGAGAGGGAGAGAGAGGGAATCCCAAGCAGGCTCCACGCTGCTAGCCTAAGCCAGTCAGGACCCCCACCCCCCAAAAAAAGCTTTTTTTAATGGCATTTTATTGTTGCTCTGATTTTCATCCCTAACACTTTATGGCATCTATGCACTGATATGTCGACTCTAAGCCCCTTGAGGACCAGGAATGTATATTTGTTTTCATCTCTCCTTCCCTAGGGTCTAGGTTTTGGTGGTTTGGGGTGATGTTTGCTGAATGCCTAAAGGAAAGGCTTAATTCTGAAAGTCTGGCAAGAATTTCCCTTGGTCTTGCTTGAGGGCAGATGTTAAGCTGTTCGCTTTTGTCCCCCCCCCCCCCCCCCCCCCCCCCCCCCCCCCCCCGCCGCTGGCTTCAGCTTCTCCATCCAGAAAGAGGTTGCATTAGGCCCACATAGATTCTTCCAGCTCAGACATGATGGCTGTGGGTGTGTAAGTCTCTGAGGACAAGAGCATCCAGGTTGGATGTGGGCTCCCTTGAAGACTGGTCCTGTGGCCTGTTTGCTGGGCAACTTGGGCCAAGTCGCTCGACCTTTCTGTGCCCTCTGCTTCTCCCTTGATAACTGACTCCTTCTTTTCAAGGGCGAGAGAGAGAGAGGGAGAGTTCCGGTGTGCAAGGGTCTCAAACTCAGAGATCTCAGGGGCCGGGCGGGGGCCTGTTGGGTGTTGAGGATGCCACAGGGAGGGATGGGGACGGTGGCAGGTGGAGAGCCACATATACTGTGTTAGAGGACATGGTGGGTTAGCTCCAGTCAGCTGAAATGCGGCCCCCGGGTTTGAGACCCTCTCTGCGCTAGAAGGATTTAGCGTCTTGGCGAGAGTCGAGGGATCCGAGACCTCAGCTGAGATGCCGTGTTGCATCGGACATCAGAAGACCCGGGTCCACATCCCAGCTGGGTTACTCGCGGGCTAGGCTAGCCCCGGTTGGTGCAAAGCTGCCCCCGCGGCCTGGAAAGTGAATGACACAGAGTCCGGGGTTAAACGGGAATCGGGAGGGCTGGTCTCCTGTGTCCGAGGTTCCATCCCTCCTCGCCCTGGCAACAGCTGGGGTGAAGCTGGTAAGAGGAAGCTTAATGAATAACCCGGGGGACTGGCCAGCGTGAGTGTTTGGCGGCTGTGGGCGTCAGGGACAGGGGCTGGCTGACGAACGTAGCTCTGGGCTCCGGGAGGGCACGGGTCAGTGACCCGGGCCACCCCTCCAGTCTTATCTGCCCTCTGATGCAGCCATCCTGGCGTCCCCACTTGGTGCGCTTCTAAGACAGGTGCTCTGGAGCCTGGCCCCTCGGCTTCTGAGCTCTGGCTCTGCCAGTGCTGTGTGACTTCGGGACAGCGGCTTGACCTTTCTGAGCTCGGTCTGGATGCTGACACGCAACGAGTGTTCCGTGATCCGACGACGTCGTGTCGCCACACTTCCCACCGTCGCATGCCGCCACTGTCTGCTGTTCGAAATGTTTTACACGTCTTAACTCGCGTGATCCTCCCTGTAACTCCACCAGAGAGGTTGTGTTCTAGCCCCCTCTTACAGTTGCAGGAACAAAGCACAGAGAGGCTGAGGGACTGACCCGAGTTTGCGCAGCGAGGAAGTGGCAGAGCTGGTGTTTGTGCCAGAGGCTGGTTCCGTGGTCTGTGTTCCAGAAACCGCTGCCATGGCTCCCACTTACTATTCAAACAAACAAAACACAAAACAAAACCTTAAGAACATCGTAAAGAACAGAAAATACGTGTATAGTATTAAAAAACCCACATATAAGTGGACCTGCGCAGTTCACATCCGTGTGGTTCGAGGGCTATCATGCTTCTTGTTCAAGTCTAAGCTGTTTGCTAAGGCCCCACTCCTCCAGGAAGCCCTCCCTGATTCTCCCCCACCCCCAGCTGCCCTATGCGGACCTTCTGCTCTCTGAATTGGATGTCTTCCTCTCCCCTCCAGGCCAGAGGCCACCTCGGGGCACGAACTGGGTTTTGCCACCTCTGCGTCCCCAGTGCCCCGTCCAGGACAGGACATTTGACGAGGACGGGTACATGTTTCGTGGGAGGATGGCAAGGAAGCTGCCAGAACCCTCATCAAGGGTCATGGCCAAGCAGCTCAACTTGACCGCGAGCAGCCAGGAGTTAATCATCAAGCCTGGGGAGGTCACACGTAGTCCTAGGAGGGCAAAGAACATCTCGGCTGCCAGGTCCTTCCTGGAGCTCACCTCCTGTTTTGTATATAGGGAAACTGAGGCTCAGAGATGGATATGACTAGCTCGGTTTCACCCAGCGAGATGGTGACAAGATGTAAATTTGCTCGTGTTATTCCTCTGCCTATAGTCTTCTATGGGTCCCCAGTACCCCTGGGTAATCCCAGATTCTGGAGTGGCATAGGCATCCTGCAGACTGTGGTTCCTGCCCACATCTCCAGCCCCAAACCTGCCGTCCTCCAAGAAATTTCCCAGCCCCCCGGGGCCAGGTGAGGTACCTGCTCTGGGCGTCCATAGCCCTCCCCCACCTCTGCCTGATAGCATCTGATAGACAAACCGATGGTAACTGCTCTCTGGTGGCCCCTTGGGGCTTCATGAGGGCAGGGGACTTGCTGTGTCCTTTGAGGCTAAAGTCCCAGCGCTCGACACATAGTAGGCGTTCGGTACATATTTGTTGACTGAATCAATGGTCAGAGTCATTCATTTGAACCATAGTAATTATTTGGGTGCCTGTGTTGGGTGTGAAATATTAGAGGTGAGGAGGGGCTTCAGAAAAAAATTAGGCCTTCTCGCGTGACAGATAACAATTGTCTCTTTGTCCTTTGACCTAAGCCGACCTGACAGTGGCCCAGGGATGGTGGCTTGGCACACAGAGCAGACACTGCACCCTGGGTAAGAGGATTCGGAGATGTCGGTGTCACAGGAGAGCTGGTCCTTGGCCAAGGAGAGTCTAGCTGGGTGGCCTTGGCCGAGAGAGTCTCCCTCTCTGAGCCTCAATTTCTTCATCTGTCCAATGGGACCCTGGACAGCGCACAGCGGGGCAGTGAAGGTTGAATCTTGTCCCCTTTCTTCCTCCGGCGGGGAGGTGTCCCTTTAACGGGGGAGGAGGGGCCAAGGCTACAGGAAGTTGCAGGAAACTGGGCAGAGCTGGTGCTCCGGCTGGGCTGGCCGCCGGGCGCCGGGCGCCGGGCGCAGACTGGAGCCAAGCTGGGTCTGAGGACTGTTCGGCTGGAAGGTAATGGGGCCCGGGGCCCGAATGCTGCCCCTGGGGCTGTGTGTGCATGTGCGCGTAGGATAGTCTGGAAGGTTCTGGAGCAAAGTCCATGATGAGTGGACACAAAGTGAGAGGGTAAGGGTGCGAAACCTTCCCAGGAACGCTCATTTAACTCGGGGTGCTCTGTGGTCTGGACTGCCTTGGAAAAGAAGGCGGGGTGCCGGGGACTCTGATGGCTGGGGAGCAGGCCCTTCTTGCCAGAGGGGCTTCCTGCCAGGCAAAGCTTCCCGGCGCTGGTCCCAGGGATTTGGCTATGCCACCCAGGTGGCCTCTGGGAAAGCCTGAGGGACAAAGGAGGCAGAAACAGCAGATGACTGTTACCCTAATTCATAGATGCGGCAGGTGAGGCCCAGTGAGGAAGAGGGACGTGGCCAAAGTCGTGCTTGCTGGGACCTGAACCCAAGCCCCGGGCTTCCCACTGCATTGCCCCACAGCCGAGAGGGCCTGGGGCTCCCACCTCAGCCCCAGTGGTTGCCACATATGGTCAGAGCCATATGTCTCACCTTGGCCCCAGACCTCAGTCTGGGAGGCCTGCGTCCTTATGGGCATCTGGGCCTGATAAGGCTGTTGACGGTTTGAGGCTTGTCCATTTGACTGATGCCTGCCGTCCTTTGGTGGGCCGATAGTGTAACTGACAGTACTAGGCGGGCCTGGGAACTGAGCCAGGAGCATTTGGCGCCTAAGGACAACTGGCGATTAGTATGAAATGCTCACAACCCTAACCGTCCCCATCGTCGCCATCTAATAGAGAAAGCATGGCACGGTGTTAAGAACACAGATGCCCAAGTGCACTGCCTGAGTCTGAAGCCTGGCCTTGCCATTTCCAGCTGTGTGACTTTGGGTAGATAACCTAACCTCTCTGGGCCTCAGTCTCGTTGTCTGTACAACGGAGCTAGTGGGTGAACCTACTTCGGGGTTGTTGCGATGATTATATAAGATGGCATATAAGGTTCCCGGCACGGTGCCTGGCTGGCAGTGGGTTCTTCTCTTTCAGACTCCCTAGGTGTGTGTCTTTCTCCTAGCGACTTTCACCATTTCTGATTATTTTGTTTGTGTATACAGTTATTTGTTGATCGCCGATCTCCCCCATCAGCTCCAAGAGTAGATGTCTGTCCTGCTCACCGTGGTCTCCCCAGTTCCTAGGTCAGGGCCTGCACCTTGTGGGTGCCCTACAGACATGCTAGAGTGAGGGTAAACACGCCCGCCTTGTGAGAAGGCCCCAGTGAGGTAATGCCTCTAAAGAACTCCCCTGATGTCTGGCATATACTGGGGGCTCAACAAAGGGGGGCTATTATTATTGTGAATGCACACCATACCCTGTGAGTCTGGGGACTGTTATTAGTCTCATTTTACAAAAGAGAATACGGCACAGAGAAGTTGAGACACTTGTTGGAGTCACACAGCTAGGAAGACAGAGCTGGTTTCTAACTTTGGTCTCTGACTGAGCCCAAAGCCCAGGGCCAAGGTGAGGCCCAGACTGAGGGATGCTGAGCTTGGGTGACCCACGGGGCCGTCTTCGTCAATGCCATGCCCAGTTTGAGAAGTGCCCCTGATGGAAGTGGGTGGAGGTGCCTCAGACTCTGCTCTAACCAGGGAATCCCAGGGCCATCCCAACAAGGGCCCCAGGTCAACTCCAGGGGCAGGAGCCCTGGAACTCTGGTGAGGCAGGGGCGCAATGTGACTAAGTAAGGGTGGACAAGAACCCCCGGGCGGTGGAGGGTGGGCAAAGCTGCAGCGCTCCTCCTACTGGCCAATAGCGGAACTGCAGGGGTTGGCCCAATGCTTTTCTGCCCCCAGTGAAAAAGAGGGGTCGCTTTTGCACTAACGGGGCCTTTGCTCAAAACCTCCCGATGGCTTCCCACTGCAAGCAGAATTAGAAGAACATTCCAGTTCCTCCCCGTGGTCTGGTAGGCCCTTCCAGAAGTCCCTGCCCAGCCCTCCTTGCTCGCCTCCTGCGCCCAACCCCCTTATCCCTGCGCTGGAATCTCCCCAAGTTCATTTCTCTCTCAAGGGGTTTCCACCTCTGTTCCCTCTGCAGGAATGCTTTTCCCTGGGCTCCCTGTTGTCCCTCATCTCCAACATCCCCGTTGGAGAACCTGCAGATCGAAAGAGAATTCAAAGACCTCTCAACCAACGTACACGCGCAGATCCGATCTGCATCCTGGTTCAAACTGTTAGAAACCCCAAATCACTGACAGCAAAACCAGCCATTTATCCAGCTTAATGAGAGGGATGGAAAGGTGAACAATCACCAGGTATTTGATGATAATAAGAGATGATTAATAATATATTTAGAAGTGATAATGGTATTTGACGATTAAAAAAAACCTTAGCATCCTTGAGGTGTAATTTCCATAAAATTAAATGAGCCCACTTTGAGTTAGAATTCAGTGAGTTTGTCCAAACGTATACAGTTATGAAACCATGTGGCTACCTTGTTGGAAAAGAGTTCTTCACTTTCAGAGATGTGTGCTGAAGTATTTGCAGATAAAATAATACAGGAGGGAAATGTAATAATAATAATAATGATAAATAGGGGCGCCTGGGTGGCTCAGTCGGATAAGCCTCCGACTCTTGATTTCCGCTCCGGCCACGATCTCACGGTTCATGGATTCAAGCCCCACATCCGGCCACCACTGGCAGTGGGGAGCCTGCTTGGGATTCTCGGTTTCTCCTCTCTCTCTGCCCCTCCCCTGCTCACATTCTGTCTCTCTCTCTCTCTCAAAAATAAATAGATTTAAAAAAATTTAAAATACTGCCTCCTGCCTGTCACCCCTGTTTGACATTTTGCGATCCTGTCTCCGCAGCTAGAATGTGAGCTCTGGCCAAGCAGGGGCTGCTTCTGACTTGGGCACTCCTGGGTCGCCAAACCTGGAACTGCCTGGCACATAGTAGGTGCTCAAGAAAAGGGTTTTTTTTTTTTTTTTTTGCAGCCTGCTTGAATGAATGCATGATGAGTGAATGAATGAATGAATTCTACTCTCGTTCATTCATCCCCAGGTACTGGCCACATTCTACATCCCCAGCACTGTGGGCAACGCCCATTACAGAGTGAAACCTGGTGGTCCAGACGGGGACACTGAGCGGCTAGTTGCCTGGAGTGTCACAGCTCGGCAGCCAGATAGGGCGGAGGGGCCTAGCCGAGGCTCTTCTACCTCTTTCCCTCCTCTGTCCCGGTTAAGGGGTCTCCTGCTGGAGCAGCCTGGGCTATGACCGTCGCGTTCTTCTGCAGGCTGCTGGAATGGAGAGCCCCCTGGCAGACTGTGCTCAGGGTGGGCATTTCCATGTGGTCACTCCTCTGCTGGAGAGCTGGGCACTATCCCAGGTGGCAGGCACGACCGTCTTCCTCAAGTGTGAGAACGTGCAGCCGGCCGGCTCCTTCAAGATCCGGGGCATTGGGCATTTCTGCCAGGAGGTGAGGTGTCGGCAGGAGAGGAGAAGTGAAGGCGGAGGGGAAGGAGGAGGAGGCGGGGGATGGATGCCGGCTGGATGGGGGGCAAGGGCAGGAGGGGAGAAGCAGACTTGTACAGATGGGAGGGGCAGGACGAGGGGTGAGGAGAGGGCTGGGGACGGTCTGAGTCCATCCCGCACGGGCTCTGTGACATCTGCTTGGGTCAGCCCCTAAGCTCATTCCTTCTCTTCCCAGGCGGTCAAGAGGGGATGCAGACACTTGGTGTGCTCCTCAGGTGACCCTCAGGGATGGGTCCTCAGCTCTGGGTGTGGGGGAGGAAGAGCTGGAGCAGCAGCAGTAGATGTCCGGGGATCAGCCTCCTCCCAAAGGTCCCGCCTCATCAAGGTCATGGTCAGGTGGCCACTGTCCTCTGCCCGCCCTCTTCCCGTCATTCAGGACTTATGGCAGAAGTGACCAAAACCCAATTTATACAGGCTTAAGCTACAGGTTCCAAGAATGGAAAATTCTTGGGATAAGTGGCCTTCAGGTACAGCTGGATCCAGGAGCTCCCCTTTCTATTTCTCCTTCTCTTGGCTTGTCTTTCCTCTGTACTAGCTTTAATCTCACGCAAACCTCAGAGCAGCAAGATGGCCATCAGGAGTCCCAGGCTTGCCTCCTGTCATCCTATCAGCCCCAGTGAAAAGGGAGCACCCCTTCTGGCTGGTTCTCCTCAATCCATGAATTGGTCTTTTGCACCCGTCTTGGGTCATGTCCTCATCCCTGAAACAGTCACAGGTTAGGGGACTGAGTTCTCTGATTGACTCATTCTAGGTCACATATCCACCTCTGGGACCAGAAAGAGGACAGAAGGTGGGGCATATGAGCGAGGGGAAGGAGTGGCTCACAAAGGGAAGTAGGGGGGAGGGGAGAGAGTGTGTTAACGGGCTAAAACCGCGCTGACCACCCTTCCAATTCTTCCACAGGGGGCAACGCAGGCTTTGCTGCTGCTTATGCCGCTCGGAAGCTGGGCATCCCTGCCACCATTGTGCTCCCTGAGGGCACCTCCCCGCACGTGGTGAGGAGGCTGCAGGGGGAGGGGGCTGAAGTCCAGCTGGCTGGAAAGGTAAGGACCCCAGGAAGGAGAAGCCGGATAGAGTGGGCTGTTCCCCTTTACCCTCCACTCACCCCTAAGAGATGGTATCTCCCCCCCCCCCC